GAAAGTCAACCCTCGAGGCATATTAGAAGACAAAGAATTATTTATTTTTCTATTGCATGTATGGTATAAAAAAAGTTCATATTTAATATAGTTTTTATTTTGTTTGTTATATTTTCTTTTCTATTATATAATTATATACTCTTGCACACTTCTTGTCAATATTCACCCATTAAAATAATCCAGTCCACAACGCACATACATGTGTCTTGTATGTAATCGGAAAAAATAAATTTATGCACTGTACTGTATGAACATGGAATTAATCTCCTAAAGAATGAGACAAATTAATTTGCATAACATACCTTCACCAAATTACTGCTTTATTTTATTTTATGTTATTTTATTTTACTGCTATTTACTCTTATATAATTTTAACCTCGTCTCCATATAATTATGACATAGTGAATAGTGAGCTTTTACTATTATACTCTCCATTTATATTCTTGATTTAATATTGATTGACATGAGTTACACTAAAAATTGTAATAGTTGGGTTTTCTTTGTATGAAAACGATTGGAACACGTCAATCATGTTTGATTTTTGGAATTTGAAGATGTTACGTAACAATATTGATATGTATTACTTGGTAAAACATTTACAAAAGTCAACCTGTTAAAACCAGGTCGATTACGTACGTGAATTAACTAGACTTGTATACAATTTACCCTATGGCCCGATCCGCCATTTACCACACGATTTTACGATAATTATAAATTCACAAATAAATTAGTTATAATTAATTATGCAAATCGTTTTAGAAAAGAAAAAGAAAGGATTCATAAACAACTTTAGAATTCTAACCCTCACATATATTTTTTTTTAATTTAAATGATGGTATATTGCCAGTGCGTCATAGGCGCCGTTAATAAAGCCACAATTTAATTGAAATTATTTTTTTAATAAACGGCATGTTATTTTATTTAAGATCAAATAAAATAAATGATATACAACAGCACAATTTATCAGCTATAGTCACAAGCTTATTGTTGCAAAAAGTTCTTGTCATGTTATACTACTTCCACTTATAAAGGATGTTGTACTAGTTAATATGGAAATTTTTTTATTAGGTGTATAGTATTTCTCTCATTGTCATCAATTCCTTATAACTATTAATAAAAAGATGAAAAATAAATAAATATTTAAAAGAGTTTTAATTGTAAAGTTGTAAGAAATTCACTATAATAATGTGAGCTTAAATGTTACTTGAAATCGGTTAACCTAACCAATAAATCTCAATAATATTGTAGATTCCTATTATGAAGGCACTTGTGGGTAGATTCTCTGTCGCTTTTCTTCTACTCTGGCTCCTTTATTCTCTTGCTTGTTCGTAATTGCATAAATTCATTGATCTCACTGTCACTTTTTTTTTTATGTCTTTCACAGTTTAAATTAGTTTGTTCTGATCAATAATGTGCTTTGGATTTTGGCAACTGAATTACTAAATACCGCCCTTCTTTTACTACCCACCGCTCCTCTTGGACCGTTTTGCCTCTGTCTGTTTTCCAAAATACTAAAAAAAAAAATCCGGTCGGCCGATATCGCTGGCCGGCCGACCACGTGGACGACTGGCCGGCCCCCGAGATTTTTTTTTTCAATCAAATTTTTATTTATTATAGGAATTATGTTAGAATTTAGAAATTATTATGTTATAAATTAGAATTTAGAAATTATTGTGTTATAATTTAGAATTAATTAATCATCTTGTAAAATTATATTTTACATTACTCAGAATTTAATTAGTATAAGAAATAAATTTCTATTTATGGAAAAAGTATTGTATTAAAATATAACTATAAATTGTTATATTATTTAATGTATATTTTTGTTAGCAGACAATAATTATAAATGCTATATTATTTTTTTTTACAAATAATTGGTATTATATTATATAACATAATAATTTCTAAGTTCTTACATAATAATAATAAAATTCAATAAGACAATTAACTATAATTTATAATATAATAATTTTTAAATTCTAATTTATATATAACAATATCTAAATTCTAACATAATTTATATAATAAATAAAAATTGATTATTAAAAAAAAAATTGTGCGTCCGACCGGCAAAACCATCGTGCACGGTGCGGCCAACCGGCAATTGCGGCCGTGCACGGTTACGGTCGATCGACATGAGATTTTTTTTTAAAAAAAATATCAGGAGCAAAATTGTCCAAAAAGAATGATAAATAATAACACTCGGTTGGTAATGGCTGCAAAAACAATCTATGTTTATTTAAATTTTTATTGTTTTTCTAAAGAAAAAACATGAGAATATAAAATTTGTGGAGAAACAAAGTCTTTCTTATGGTAGGACAAAGCAAGTTGACGGGAAACGTCTTTTCAAAACCATTTCAGTATTCATATAACTAATAAAATAATGTCGAGGGTGATTTGGATAGAAATTATTTTAAATTTAATTGAATTTATTGGATAAAGTAAGTTAATTTAGAAAAAAAAATAACTGAATTTGGTTTGAGTGACATTTTAAATTTGTATTTAAATATAATGATTAAAGTTGATGTGATTTATGAAAGTCATTATTGAAAGAGACAATTAATTAAAATTATGTGACTGAATGAATAATGAATTAAAATTAATGTGATGACATTAGAATTATTGATTGATATTATTTAATTATATTTATAATATCAAGTAGAATTTAGTTGTTAAGTAATCATATTCATATAGCATAAAGCATATATTACAAAAGCTATTGTATAATTTTGTAAACTTGAATTAGAATGAAAATGTTCGTGAACACATTAAGATACGCCCACCAATTGTATATGTTATTCTAATTTCTTTGTTACATCAAAAGATGAAAATATTAATTGCTTACCGTAACAAGAAAGCGGGGACTAAAAGTTAGAATAGTCACACAAGGAGAACAATTACAAGATAATCACATGAGAAAGAGAGAAAAAATTCACTAGATTTTCACTATGACAACTGTCAAAGGATGGAATTAATTTAAAGGACTTGGATGAAGAAAAAATAAGAAATATTTTTTTGGAGGAAAATCACATGATATTCAACTGCCCAATGGGACCAATCACATCTGTAATCTATAATTACAGAATTATTGCATTATTACTTTAATAATAATAAAATGAGAACAATTGCCATCGTTGAAAAAATGTCACTTCTC